CGCCGGTTTTTGCCCCGCCCCCGGGGGAAGCCCGGACCTTGCGGAGGGGTGCCCTTTCTTGGATTTGGACAACCCCGAGGGTCCCCCCGGGAAAACCCCCCCCCCCAAAAATTTTGGGGGGGTGGTTAAGCCGCTTCCCCCCCGGAAAAGGCTTTTCCCCGAAAGAGGGGTTCCAAGGCTTCCAGGGGTTGAAGGTGGGGGCCCGTTTCTTCCCCGGGGAGGGTTGGTAAAACCCTTCCAACCAAAAAATGGGGGCCCGGGGAAGGCAATTCCTTAAGGGGGGCTTGGCCCCCCCCCCCCCCCCCTGTGGCCCTTTCGCCCCGCCGCAGCGCTCCTGAGGGGGCCGTCCGTTTGCCAGGTCGCGCTCGGCACCAGGGGTTACGGGTCGGGGACCGCGGCTCCCCCCGCCCTGACGATGAAGCCGCCGCCCCCCCCTGGAGGGGGTTACGGCGCACCATCGCCGGGCGCCGGCGGCTTCAGCCCGACCAACCCGATGGCGGGGCTTCCCGGGTTTGTCGCCGGGGGGGTCGTCCCAGCCACGATGGGGCCACACTAATTGAGTGTCTCAGGGGCATGCCCCGGCGAGGGGGCAGGAGCAGGTGGTCACCCCGGTGGCGGCAGGGTTGGGCGAGTACGAGCGTGCCGCGATGAGTTCGAGTACTGAGGTGGACGAGTTAGGGCATCATCACTTGTTCGCCGAGGCTGGCTTGCGCGCGCGGGGGGGGGGGGGGGGGCACCGAGATCTCACAATTGATCTTTGATGTGTTGAGCTGTGGGCTGCGCGCGCCCCCCCCAGGCCCCCGCTCTCCGCTCTCGCCCGCCTCTTTCTCTCTCGCGGTATCTGGTCGTTTTTCAGATTTCACGTTTACTCGTTGCGAGTCACATTTTTTTATTTTTGCACGGGGTCTCGCTCGTCGCTGGCTCCGGCGCGCCCAAGCTGCAGAAACGAGCTTTTAGTGCTTATGAGCATAAGCACTGGATTCTCATGCGCGCGGAGCGCGCCGGTGCTCTACCCGGACACGCGCGGAGCGCGCTAGCTGGACACCGCCGCACGCGCGGAGCGCGCTAGCTAGACACACACGCGCGGAGCGCGCTGGCTAGAT